TATTTGGCAGATGGAAACGGCAATTCAGAGAATTGGAAATTTAATTTTAGTGATGGCTTAATAATTTGATATGGATATTGACAAAAAATATTTTTCGCAAGTAGTGAGATATACAGTATTTAGTACAATAATTTGTAAATCATAAGTGAATTTATCATATGAAATGATTGGCTAATTATCTTACAGCTGTCACATTAAATTACCAATATTTTGTAATGAAGCATTTACTGAAACTGAGTCATTCCAGTTGACAATATTATAAAAGTTATTTCAAGTTTATTGAAAAAAGTAGTAATAATTACTCAAACATATATAACATTTGTGAAGAAATGTGTGAAAATGTAAATAAAAAGGTATTTTCTACATAAAAATAAACACCTCTGCTTTCATGAAATGTAATTATTCGGATAAGTAATAAAAGTATTTGAGTAAATAGAAAATTTTTAATTTATTTTCCTCTGTTTTACATCTTTACTGAGAATAAGCTATGAATAATCTATTATCAATGGTACATCACAATTCACTCATTGCAACACTTTTCACTTCCTTTCATATATCATGCAATATGTGGAAAACAATATTTTTAACTCAGATATTATAGAGGAAAATTATATTTCCTATTTAAATATTACAATCCATATCTTGAAATACCATGTACAGTTGAAATAACATGCATAGTATTTTGACTCAAATATTAACAAATTTCATTCTAAGTTCATAATATAAACAACACACCTAGTCCAAACACTATATCACCTGCAAAGCACTTCGTTGGCAAAATTAAGCAATCTCTAAATCCCAGTTCCTTTTCTTCACTTTTTCTTGAAGCAAGATGATTTCAGACTTTGAAATCTTCCATGTCTCTAGGTTCCCTACATGGAAGAGCTGAGTGCATCCATTCAGTAAGGCATCACATGATTTCATAGTTAGACTTGATGGTACTCTGTCCATAGTCGTTAGTGCACTTTGCACTTTGTATACAAATTTCTGCAAATTAGGCAGTAGAGGTACAGCCTGAAGCAGTGTTTCATCATCTAGTAGGAACTCTCCATCTTCATCTGTGATCATTGAAAGTACAAAAGTTGTCAACTGAGGGCAGCCCTGCAGGAAAAATATCAAGGCTTCACCTTGAAGAACATTCTGACCATGGAAACGTAGAGTGTGCAGTGAAGGGAATTGTGGTTTTTGATCTGATGTTCCACTAACTATGAGGGAAAATGAGCGCAAAGTGAGCTGTTCCAAACATGGAGAAGTCTGACAGAGTGAATTCAAAATAGGCCACTCCTCCTGGTATCCAACATTGATATCTAAATTTGTTAAATTCCTCATATACTTGCCATGAACCTCAAAATCATCTGTAAAAATGGTTATGTCTTGTGCCCTGGTGAAACTCTCTAGCACTTTCTCAGTTACCTCTGTTGGAGCATAGATGCCTACTTTTGTGACCTGAGTAAACACTTTTGATAAATACTCAGGATCAGGCTCCTGTAAGAATTCTTCATAAGCAAAATATGGCCAATTGTCATTACCATATACACCATGATGGAAATTAGTGAGTTTCTGTGCTCCTGGTAGTGATTCAAGTAGTTCTTCAAACTCTTCAGTTACATATATCATTGGTACACCAACAAGATACTCAAGATTAGGCATATATGACAGCATTTCAATTGCATCATTTGTCACATCCAATGTTTCAACTCCTTCTGGAAGAGCAAGAGTGACTAAATCTCGACATCCAGGTACCATTCGCACATGTCCATCTCGACATGCTACAGAATTCCCATAAAGGACTTCAACATTTGTCACAACTGGGACATTTGACTTTGGGTTAGTGCAGTCAGCTGAACATCGCAAAATCAAGACTTCCAGGTTAGGGCATAGATAAGCTATCTTTCTGACAAAGCTGTTATGAACATAGTGTGGCAGTTTGATGTATTTCAGTGTTCTCATCCCAACAACTTTACTATCAACTGCATATCCAAATATATCAAAGCAAGGACTTTCACACTCTTTGCCATTCCGATTCATGGTTTCTCCACCCCAGCACAATAGTTTCCATCTTTTTAATAAGTGAGCAATGTGTGAGAAATCCAATGCCATAACACCTTTCACTAATAAACATTGTAGTGATACCTTAAGAAGAAAACTCAGCGAGTTTAAAAATTCAAGATCTTCCTCAAAAACTCTTAGTTTTTCTTTTGGTCTTGGTATTTCAATCTTGGAAGCAACAACATTTAGCACAGAAGCCAGGACTTTCTCATGAAATCTTGGGGCAAGGTAGCATGACAAGAACTCCTGAACTTCTTTGGCTACCCACTGAGTAATAACATTTACTGTCTGATACTCCTGCTGAACGGGAGACAGTGTTCCACTTTCTGGTTCATTACTTGGGTCATCACTGTATGAAGTACTGCAAACTAAATGCTTTAAGTACCAATCCTCATTTATAATTCTGGAATTTTTCTCATCAATGCAATTATTAATCAAATCTTGTAATTCT